TTGAAAGACAACGTTAATTTTAACTAAAAGCTAATAAAATAAATAATGTTGATTGGGCTCTTGAATGTGTCAAGTAGAGAGCCAAACCCTTTAGAAACATTATCAAATTTAGTCCTTATTCCCTGCCAATGCAGTACACCCCCTTATTGTTTCCATATTACAGGTGAGAAAAATGACACAGAAAATTTATCTAAATTGTTCAGCTATTAAGTGGAGAATTTTCTACTTAGATAGTCTGACTCCCAAACCCTACTTCTATTTCACTTTATACTATATTATCTCCAGTAGGTTAAGGAAAGGGGAGAACATTCCAGACCCAGAGAAAAATATGTGCAAAGGGCCTTAGGCAAGATGGAGGAAGATATGAATGTAAGCTTCTTAGAAACAGGTATTTTGTTTTTCACTTGTGGCTCATACTTTAAAAAAAAAAGAATTGAGGTATAACAAGTTATGAGCAATAGAAACCTCTTTTAGTACATAAATAACCTTTTTTAGTACATAAATAGATAGTTTTAAGGAACTACTATTTTGAAAGTTGACATAGAGCTTAACAGCATGTCCCCTGCCCCAGCTTGCCATTTATTCCTTTATGCATTCATCCAACCACTGTGTGTGGAGGCAGTCTGCAGGAAAGCACAGAAGAGGAGGAGGGGAAAGGGCTTGAGGCCAGACCCTGACTGCTGGCTGCAATTGCCAACTCCACCAGGCCTCATGTATACATGGAGATCTTACCTATCTCATAAGACTTGAGGATGGATTGTGATGTTGTATGTAAGGCACTTTGCACATTATGTGGGGCATTACATGACAGTCAGTCTTTTTAATTTTATTTTATTATAATTACTGTGTAACAGGTGCTCTGAATGCACATATGGCTAAGGCAATTTTTACCGTCCTCAAGGAAATCACAGATTTGTGGGAAAACACACGCAGAAGCAGGCAATTTCAGTACAGAGTGACAAGAAATATGATCTAAAAAAATAGAGGGAGCTGTAAAGACACAAAGGAAGGAGCTGATATAATTAGGAGAGAGCAACAGGATGGTCAAGAATTTTATATTAAAACTGTGTTTTGAAGGGAAAATAGGCATTTTCAAGGCAAAGAGAACATTATTTCAAATGTGAAGAAGCTAATGAGAACATAGTGCGAGTTGACGAACTGTCTGCACCTTGACGTGGGCACAATCTGGATGTGAATGGGCTGAGAGGAGGGAAAGGGGGAGATCAGAAGGGCTTCGGGAGGCAAGCAGACACTGTTCCTTGTGCTTTGGAACTTGGATCTTATTTTAAAGGCTAAGGGATGAATGGGCTGATGAAAGGTTTCACTTGGGAGTGTGACAAAATGAAACTGACATATTGTAAAGTTCCATATGGCTGTCATGTGGACTTGCTACTGGAATGCAGTGAGATGCACTTTGAGTGATGCTTTAGAGACAGAAAAATTATTTTGGAAACTTTCACTGTAGTCCAGAAAGAGACGATGTGGAGCTAGGTATGCTGAAAGGAAGCAGGAATGAATTAAATAATGCTCCTTCCAGAACTGGGACTAGGGAACAGCTAGTGAGATGGCCCAGGATGCAAAATTAATGAGGCATTGACTCTCAGGGTCCTAAGTGCTTCCTTAAATGTTGTGCCCTAGACACCTCTATGGGGCTCACCAGTCAGTACACAATCAAGGTGTTATTGGCAGCTCAACAGAAAAAGAATTAAGTATTTTCTTCACCCATTTGTCCCTATCAGCAGTTTACCTGGAGGCAGGACCAGGCACCAAGTCCCAGAGGTCACCCAGCCCCTTGAGACTTTCCAAGAGCACTTAATGGTCCAGGTTCATTCTACCTTCTGTGCAGTGGGGAGTCTCCCTTCTGTGGTTGAGAGAATAGATGGAGGTAAGTGAACTAAGCTACACAGGTAGCAGATGGAACATTTCTGGGGAACTTAGACGCACAGACGCATAGCAGTTATTCTATTGGTGTAGACTGCAAGAAGTCATTCCTGTGTCTGTGGACTGGCCACATGGTCAGGAGGCAGAGTAACTGTTTCCAGTGTACGTGTTTGCCTGCCCTTCCCCATGCTTCTCACTCTGGATCTGCATTTCGCCTGCTCCCCCGGCAGCATTTTTTCCAGCCCTATGGGCTCAGCCTTCTTGTGCTCTTTCCCAGGAAAAATGTCCACTCCTGTACCTTGCTCCCTGAGCCTCCCCCACTGATACTTTGCCACTATGATGATCTACTCAGGCAAACATGTATGATGCGAACTCCAGCAGCCTGGGGCTTTTTTACAGGGTCTGTTTCAACAGAGTGCTCTGATTTTTTAAGTCACTTTCAGTCAAAGCGGGACTCCAAATCTGAGACGTGCCTGAGTGGGTGGTCTGGGGAAAGAGAAAACGTGTAGGTTAAGGAAGTTAGGTGTTCTGTGGGTTCTTCTCAAATCTTATTCTCTATGGGTGGCTGAATCCTGACTTTGACTTCCTAGTTGCCCATGAAGTCTGGGCTCACACATACAGCTTCTTGTACTTTAAAAGCTTGAGACACCATATCAGAAATGGAATTTTGCTCAGCAAGTTAATCTTTGTAAGTATGGACATGCTCTAGTTTTTAACGTTAAATAACATTAGGAAGATGTCTTCCTATGAAGTAAAGAACAACTATATATTTTTCCATACGCACCTCTTTTCTTTGGTAAACGTAACTCCCTATCCTTTGCCACGCATGCTTTTGCAGCAATGAAGGTTTGAGGTGCTCGTAATCAGTACCAGACTTCTCAATGGGTTTTGAAAGTCAAAGGATAACTTCAGATGCCTCATGAGTCTGGAGCTAGTCCAAGAGAAAATTAGATTACTGTGGATTAGAGGGGATATTACCGTATTTGCCGGCGTATAAGACAATTTTTTGGCCCTGAAAAATATGCCTCCAAGTGGGGGGTCATCTTATACGCCAGGTACACTTCAGATAGACTGCCCATAGTGCTTGCCCCGTGCCATAGTGGCCTCCCGATGCCCGCCCACTTCATTCCACATACCGTTCAGGCATCAGCAGCGCTGCTGGGTGTATGCTCGGCTGTTATGCGATTTTGCTGTTATGCGATTTTACCACACTCGCAAAATCGCACACAGCCGACCATATAACAAACTCTATATTTTGAGTGGAAATATTAGGGGGTCGTCTTATACGCCCAGTCGTCTTATACGCCAGCAAATACGGTAGGTAAAGTCCTTTAACGGTTGAAGATATGAATTAAATAACTTCTAATGAATCAAGTCTAAACTTTTAGCACTTAATTTAACAGCAAAATGAACTTCATCATATTGTCATATATTTGACAGTAATAAAATAATATAATTTTTCCATATGATAGAAAAATAAAAATTATCAGATAAAATGAAATAAAAGTAATCACTAGTTCACTATCCAGATATAACAAATTGTTATGTCTTGATGTTTTATCTACAAGACATCTTATCTATGCAAATATATATTTGTAAATCATTGTTATTGTTCAACAATGACACTAAGCGCAAGCATTTTTGTAATCTCTTTTCAATTTAATAATAAATGGTAAATTTTAAATAGTGTTTATTTTTTAAATCAAAATAATTATGCTATCTTTGTGTATGTTGGTCTTTCCTGATACAGAATAAAAAGGATGTTTTGTTTGTTAATGAGAAAATTAATTTCCTTTTTGATGAAGATTATTTATTAATTTTTAGTCTATTTAAAATGATGGCAAGGTTGGACATGTTATTTTGATCTTCTTTAAATGGCAAATTCCATTATAACTTCCTTTTTCAGTGATGAAACCCATGTAGCATGAGGTTGGGAGGTTTCGAAAAATCTCCGGGAGGGGAGATTTGAGGAGATCAACTGCACTGTGTTCCCTGAAGGACAAAATTTCCTTGTTTACTAATTGTATTTAAATTCAGTCCTTGAACACACACAAAAATAAAACTTTAAGAAATTAAAAACCATCAAGGAAAGATATATTAAATCTATTTTTAAAAGAGTTTAAATAAGAAGTGGTTGGTAGCAGTATCTACTTATATCTATGATTTATATTTTTGAATTGTTCGAGTTACTTATTTCAGATCATGCTTCTTTAAAGTAATGAAATTAGGGTGTATTAATAAAGAAAACCCTGGGATAGAAATATAATATTTTGAATAATCTGGGTAAACTTCAGTACAGAGTCTCATCCTGAATTTCAAAAACAGTATTCATCGTGTGCTATAACTGCAGCTCCACCCATTCTCAAGTAGCTGCCTCCCTAAATGTAGCAGTTCTCCATAATTTAATAAAATCTTTCATTAATGAAACTTCAAAAACAGATATCTGTAATCAATGTATTAAACAGACAAACTGAAAACACCTGTATTGACACCATGGTTGGCATAGATTATAGCTCTAAGTGCAGAACTTTTGTAGGCTTTGAACTCCTTTTCCCCTTTTATGCACATGTTCATATCTCTGTACACATGGTAGGTAATCAGTAGATGCTTAGGTAATCAATAAACCAATAATTGATTAGGTAAATGTATGTGCTAGACAACAGAATTGTTTAGTTCAACAAAAACTTTTTTGTTTCTATTCATTTTTTATATTCTTTATAAAAATTTAAAAATCCTTCCTTGTCTTAAAATGTTTAGTCAGAGAATACAATAGATTATTACAGGTTTTAAAATTTTGTAAGACCATCATTTTAAGTTTATGTCAATTGTGTGAGAAAATAGTACCGGCCTCAGGATTTTCCTTGGAAGCATCTTTTTAAAATCCTTTGATCCCACTTTGAATCTTTGGAATCCTTCTCTTCAAAGTAGATTAATGCACACATTTGGGTTCATACTTAACACCTCTGAGTAGGTGGGAACTCATTAACTGAGATTTTACATAGCAGATCTGAGCCCACTGCAAGTTAATCAATATATGCTAGTTGGTTGTGTCAGGCTAGCTCTCTAACTTACTTTGTCCTTACAGATAAGTGATAGAAGTCTCGTACCATAATTCAGGCATGTCAGCTCCCAACTATTCCACTGTCAATTATGATATGTTTGTCCTCACTGGCATCCCTGGCCTGAAGGAGCGACACATGTGGATCTCCATCCCGTTCTTCCTGATGTACCTGGTGGCTGTGCTAGGAAACGTCATCCTCATCTGTGTGGTGGCAGTGGAGCGTAGTCTTCATGAACCTATGTACCTCTTCCTCTCCTGTCTGGCTTTTTGGGATCTAATTCTATCTACGTCCACAGTACCCAAAGCCCTGAGCATCTTCTGGTTTGATGACGTGAACATCTCTTTTGGTGGTTGTGTAACCCAACTCTTCTTTATGCATTTTGCCTTTGTAGTGGAGTCAGGTATTCTCTTGGCCATGGCTTTTGACCGCTATGTGGCCATCTGCTACCCACTGAGATACACCACCATTCTTAGCCTTGGTGTCATTGGCAAAATAGGGAGTGTTGTAGTGCTCAGGGGTTTTGCAACTGTTTTCCCCATTGTCTTCCTTGTGAAACGTCTGCCCTTCTGTCGGACAAACATCATTGCCCACACATTCTGTGAACACATGGGGTTGGCAAAGCTGGCTTGTGCTGATATCACCATCAATATTTGGTATGGAATCTCTGTGCCATTACTCAGTGTTATGCTAGATATGGTGACAATAGTCATCTCCTACATGCTCATTCTGCAGGCAGTTTTCAGGTTGCCATCCCAAGATGCTCGGCTGAAAGCACTCAGCACCTGTGGTTCCCATGTCTGTGTCATCCTCATGTTCTACGTTCCAGGGGTTTTCACTGTCTTTGCTCAGCGCTTTGGCCGAAAAATTCCCAAGCATGTCCACATCCTGCTGGCCAATCTCTATGTTCTTGTTCCTCCCATGATGAACCCAATTATCTATGGAGTAAAGACAAAACAGATTCGTGAGCGAGTGGCCCTTGCATTTTCTTCAAAAGGGAAGTGTTGCTGAGGTTGCCTGGATCTCAAAGTGGTTTCTTACAGGCAAGAAGGAAGAGTCTATTAGGAAAGAAAAAACATAGCTGCCATTTAGGACAGGCTCTACTGGCTATGAAATTTGTTTTTTCATTAAATTGGGATGATCCAAATTGTATAGTCCTTTATTTCAAAGGTAAATAATTTCTTTAAAATATGTGTATTCTGTGTTCATGAGTTTTTGCTTCTTTGTCTTATTCCTTTGTTGCTTTCAGTTTTATGTCCCACATACCAGTGAAGTCATATTATTCCCAACATTTTCTATCTGACTTATTTTGCTTAGCATAATAATCTCAAGATCCATCCATGTTGTCGCAAATGGCACTATTTCATCTTTTCTTATGGCAGAGTAGTATTCCATTGTGTATATATGAGGTCTGCCAATTAAGTTTACAAACTTGTTGCAACTATGTTGCGAACCTTTTTTTATATCAGAGGGATTATTCATTATGAATTTGCACCAACTGGAAAAACAGTTAGCCAAGTTTACTATTTGGAAGTGCTGAAAAGGCTGCGTGAAAAAGTTAGACGACCTGAACTTTTCGCCAACAACTCATGGCTCTTGCATCATGACAATGCACCCGCTCACACGGCACTGTCTGTGAGGGAGTTTTTAGCCAGTAAACAAATAACTGTATTGGAACACCCTCCCTACTCACCTGATTTAGCCTCCAATGACATCTTTCTTAACCCAAAGATAAAGGAAATATTGAAAGGAAAACATTTTGATGACTTTCAGGACATCAAGGGTAATATGATGACAGCTCTGATGGCCATTCCAGAAAGAGTTCTAAAATTGCTTTGAAGGGTGGATTAGGCACTGGCATCAGTGCATAGCTTCCTAAGGGGTGTACTTCAAAGGTGACAGTAGTAATATTCAGCAATGAGGTATGTAACACTTTTTCTAGGATGAGTTTGTGAATTTAATTTTCAGACCTCGTAAACTACATCTGTATCCAATCATCTATCAAAGGACACACCTTGGTTGTTTCCACGTTTAGTGGTTACCAGAGGGTAAGGGGGGAGGTGGGTGGTAGAAGAGTGTAAACAGGGTCAAATATATGGTGATTTAAGGAGAACTGACTCTGGGTGGTGAACACACAATATGATATATAGATGATGTATTTACAGAATTGTACGCTTGAAACCTATGTAATGTTACCATTGTCATCCCAATAAATTTTAATTTAAAAAAAAGTGTGTACTCATGGACATACAAACTAGTATTTTAAATGTACACAGAGTTCTTCAGTATTTAATGATAACATCTCTATTTCTGCCAAACAAAAATATATTTATAAAACACTTCTTCTTCATCTACTATTTAAATTTTAGATCTCTATGTGTCTTCCCCAACAGCTATGATGAATACAAATTAGAAAAAGTGAACACCAAAATGGTATACAAATAGGGGAACATAGACGCTCTCTGTTCTAACTCATCTTGTTCACAAAAGACCTAAACAATCTTGTAATACAAATGGGAATATCTGATGATACTAGATAGCACCACATATACAAATGAAATTTTCTGCTGTAAGTACATGATTTGGAAGGATTCTTAAAAGGACGAGTTAATTAAATAAAGTGTTTGGATACATAAACTGCCTGGGATGTTGGGTGACCTATGTAACCCTCCTAATTTGTGTTTGAGCGACCTTCTTTTTAAACCCCTTAACATCTATCTCACAAGGCTGTTGTATGGGACCCACTGAGAAAGTCAATGCTAAAGCACTTTAGAAATTATAAAATTCTGTACAAATGTGTTGTGTCACTATCGTTAATGTCATTATGTTCCCTGATATGAGCTTTCACCCTTCTTAAGGTAAAAAGTTAAAAACAAAACCCTGTCCTTTGTTATGGCAAAGTCCTTCTAGCTCCCTCCTCCTTTCTTTTCCTACCAGGGTTCATCTAACGACTGTGAAGTCACCTCCCACAGCTTTCCCCCCCCCCCCCCCCCGTCAGGTGTGCACCTGCTTTAGAAAGAATATGACAACAGACAGACACTATTGAGGTGCAAGTCTGCATCTGCACTGTCCATGATCCCGGCAGTGTGAGCCAGTCGTGCACTTCACAGCCCTCAAAAACCCCTGTGGGAATTTTACCTTACTCCATAACCATGAAACTTCCTACTTCTCAGCTGTCTGCTCAGATTTCTAGCATATGATGAAGTATCGGTAAAATATTTTTGTGTTTTTTGTGAGTTGCACTTTCTGCATGAATTTTGCCAAAATCTTGAGATCCTGGACTAAGACTGAGTCTTGGGAAATTAATTTGCAATTATAGTTAGTGAGGTAACAATAGTGAGAGAACGCCAGAGACATTTACCTAACTCCAGAAGTATAACAACATGGTTGGGTTTTAAAGCTGGAGACAATGTTCTTATCTTTTCCCTAGAGAGACTGATTTCCCATTATTCTCCAAGGAAATTTTCTCAGAAGGTGGGAGGCAGGGAGGGGAGGAATAGTCTCTTTTCTAAGCAGAGGAAACGCATTTTTACTTGTTCCTTGACTATAAAACAGGTTTCATATGCATATGACAGTTAATCTGGCCTTCACTATATAACCCTACAGGTAAGAATTGGGTTTAGGAAACCACATGATTATTATTTGCTTTTTAAGTGAATAATGGGAATCTGTCTCTCATCCAGAACATTTGGTGTGCACATTCAAGATAAAATTGATAACATGAATATTTAAAACCCAACACAAGCTCAGTACAAACTTCCAGTATAAAGGCTCTTCTACTTCCATAAAACTCAACCCTATAAGTCTTGGGTGATTGCTGGCCCTATATATTTATCCCTGTCTTTCCTTCCCACTCAATTTTCTGTAGCGACACAAATCCATATACCTAAAAGGGCCTATATAAATCATAATGTACAATAAAGTAATGTGCTACACTCCCACCATCAGCAATAATACTACCAAGCTTAGGAATACAAAGGGTCATTAGAGAAAAAAATGACCGAAGAGTCCAGAAGAAATAGAGCCCAACAGAGTGGCTGAAGCTCAAGTGTAGCCATATAATGTGTGAGGTCATGGCCTGGGCCACACTCAGGCCTGTGAGTTGGGCTTCAAAAGGATTGTAGCCAGTGGTGTGCTAGTGAATGTTTAACTACTGGCATTGGAGGGGTTGATTTGTAGATTTGTTGATTTCCAAGGTATAGGTATTCCCTCTGTGGCTAATTTCAAGCTACTAATATGATGTTGACCTGTTCATAACATTTCTGAAAATTTAACACTTGGCTATCATGAGCCAGTATGGACAGTCTCCAGCTCACCATTTGTTGTAGCTTTTGGTAGGCCTGGCACACTGGGACTAGAAAGAGCCTGAATATTGTGGTTTTGGTTTAACACAGAAAGGATGTGAGAAAAAGAGGTCTCTGTGTTAGAGAAATTCTGCCACACTGAGAGATAAAACAGTAAGTGAAATCGAACAGACTTGTTAACTGTATGTACTTCATATATTATTTGTATGATATGGAGCATATTTAACTGTTTTAGTAAGGTAAGATTCATATAATATAAAATGCACCATTTTTATCCATTTTAAAGGGTACAATGTAGTGGTTTCTAGTACATTTGCAATCTTGTGCAGCAATCACCATTATCTAATTCCAGAAGATTTTCATCATTCCCAAAAGAAACCTCATATTCACTAAGCAGTCCCTCCCATTTCACACTCCTCCAATCACTGGCAACTACTCATCTACCTTCTGTTTCTAAGGATTAGCCTATTCTGGACTTTGACATAAGTGGAATCATGCAGCATGTGGCTTTTTGTGTCTGGTTTCTTTCACTTAGCATTATGTTTTCCAGATCCACCATGCTGTATTATATATCAGAACTTTATTCCCTTTTATGGATGAATGATAGTTCATTGTTTGGATATAACATATTTAGATATAACTGATGAATCATTAGTTGACACCCATTTGATATAAGTTGTTTCCACTTTTTTGGCTATTACAAATAATGCTACTATAAACATTCATTTACAAGTTTTTGTTTGAACATCTGTCTTCAATTTTTTTGTTATATACCTAGAAGGAGGATTGCTGGGTCTTATGATAATTCTATATTTAACTTTTTGAGGAACTACCCAACTGTTTTTCAGAGGCTGCACCATTTTCCATTCCCACTAACAATGTATTAAGGTTACCATTTCTCTATACCCTCACCATTTTACTTTTTAAAATATTATAGCCATCTTAGTGGATATGAAATATAACAATAAAAAGGGATTGAAAAATCGTTTCCCCTCATTTTCATTCCTACCCAAGTTTAAGCTAAACTTCAGATTCCAGAGGAAATAGCATGTATGAAGGTCCAGAAGGAAAAGAGAACATAGTTTATTTGAAAAGCCAGAAGAAGTACATGGTGGTTGTTAACATAAAAAGTTTATGAGGGAAAGAGTGAGACGGAAGGGGAGAGTGGAGTCAGTGGACACCAAGCAATAAGCAGTTAACACAAATTGTGCCATAAAAGGCTTTAAAGATATGTTAGGACGCTTGGGGTTTATTCCAAACAAAATGGGGAACTATTAAATTATTTTAAGTAGAGGATTGGCATGATCTAGGTTGGAGTTTAGTAAGAAAACTCTACTTTCTGACAAAAAAAAATGGATGGGGAGAACAAGGTTTAGAGGCAGCAAATTTCTAAATGAGGCTGCTAAAAAAATTCAGGACAAAGAGAGTGTGATGATCATATTTAAAGTCAAACATGTGAATAAATTTAATGATATTCAGAAGACACAACCAATAGCAAATTAATTTTTAAATAATTAAAGAAAATAAATGGGATAAGGAGAATAGGCTTTGACATGGGAAATTAGTTGAATTCCATACCATTTAGTAAGATAGATTATTCAAGAGAATGTGTTGATTGTGAGGAAAGAAAAGATGATAATATTTTTGAACATGTTGATTTTGAAGTTTCAGTGAGATATCCAAGAGGAGATATCAAGTAGACAGTTG